ATTCAACGATCGCAAATGGCGCACTTTTGGAGCACAATGATGATGTTTGTCAAAGTCTACTATTATTGTCAGGTGATTGCGTTACCCCAAAAGGGTTCGTATCTCTCTATTCAATATGGCAGCCCTACCGGCTGAGAATACAAGCAGGCAGGTACCATTTCTAGGGACATGGTTCATATTTTATAAGCTACCTGTGGTGCTGTCTGGTATGGTACAGTAGGTCATTCGCGGAGATTTGAAATTACGTAATCGTGACGCCTTTAAGTCTCGGTTGGCACAGTTGGGTATGGAACATCCAAGCTTGAGCTTGGATGGACAGGATTAGGCGTGCCCCAAGCAAACTGATGATGGACAGGTAGTGTCTCATCTTATATTGTTTGGTGCAGGCGGTCCAGATGTGCGCGGGAAGCTCGATTTCTGGGTGACCGCTTTGAGTCAAAACCAATCATTTCAATGTGCTAGCTAGCTAGCTAGTATACTTGTACTGTATTGATATTCTATTGCTACTCTGTGTGTATCTATTTCTCAATTATTTCCCATACCGGCACTCGTACCGTAGGAACCGGTACACATAAACGTGTACACGTGCATTCTTGATAATGCCCAACGCTATTCTTGCCCTGAAGGAGAATCTATCAAGCACTGAAAGCAGTACTCGATAGTTCCCAAAGCCCCAAACTTTCGATGGGTCATTGGAGGGATATGCTTGAAGAATGCGGTGATGGAAACGAAAGAAACAAAGCTGAGAAGAATACACACAAGCAGAAGAAAAACAATAAGCTCCTGAACTTGGGAGATCAGACGACTGTCTCGACTCGACTCGACTCCCTCGATCGCATTCCCTCATCGTTGCTTACAAGATGTAACAATCTATACTGTAGCCATAGCAACACTGATCGCGTCCCGAAACTGTCGACCATGGAAAACAATAACGCAACATACGAAGTATCTATCCCATCTCTTGCTCCGTTGGTATCTTGGCATCAAGAGATCGAAGCACCTACTGCTATCAATCAGGGCGATCCGATTGCGACAAATGACATTGTGAGTGCCACCGCACAGTACAAGATGCGCAAGTGGTTGCAATCAATGCATCCAACACTTAGTCACTTCAAGCGAAGTCATCGAAGCAAAGCGTCGAAAGCATGTCGTGGAATGAATCAGCACAATTTGACGGCCCGAGAATTGGATGGGACCATGCCTCAAGATGAAAACGCGTGGTTCCCTGCAACCCGCAAGTCGAACTCATCAACGCTAGTCATGTTGACATGAATTCTTTGCTTACATTCTATGGGCTTCCAGAGAGTGGAACACTTGACGAGAAGCGCGCTCGATTGGAAAAGCACCTTGGAGTGGTCCTATAAATTCGAAAAAAGGGTCGAAGGAAGGAAATTGAATGAATGAATGAATCAACCACCGCACTGTCGTTGCGGCTATTATTGTTTCCTTTCCCGTCACACGGCAGTCTTTGCCGTATTGGGCGAGGACAGTAAAAGTCATTCGTCATTCGTCATTCGAGTCAACATATCAAGACTTTCATCGCAGCGCAACGCAATATCTGCACTGCTGTGCCTATAATTGTGTGCATCAACATAGTATTTATACTATATGAACAAGAATAACAATGATATTAGTGTAAAACCTAACATACTGGCGTAAATTCATGGATGACTGTGAGCTTATTTGTCAAATCCATTCGTTCCTAATTTTTGAAATAGTGATTGGCTTATTATATTGGATGATGCTCAACGAAAACATGTACAACAATCGTTCAATGCCAGCACACAAGGGAAATGTCTGAACCGCTCTTCTGCTCTATTGTTTTTTATTCGGCGTGCTTCTAGTCTTGCATGTCGACCTCGTTTTGATGCCAAGGTAATCAGTATTTACATGAGACTATAGCTTCGTTTTCCTCTGTTCAAGTTCGGAACATTGCCTCCCAACCTTCCATCACTGAGTCTGGCCTGTCAGAACGAGAATGTGCATGCTTGGTGCAATGCTGCTTATTGGCGGCCTCCAGAGCGATTCATTCTCCCTTATTTCCATCCATCCACATATGCCATCACCTATTCCACGAGCTTAGTAAATGCTACAGCAACATGATGATGGTGTTGATGATGATGATGATATTTTCAAATGATGATAACTCCAAACCACAATCAGGAGTTGAGAAAGAAGAATTCTGCCTAACCATTTGAGAGTGCTGCTATTGGCATTGTATTGGAAGAACGAAGAATGTAAACCAATCGATCAATCCATCAATCTTGCCAATCGATCAATCTTGCCAATCAACCAATTGATCAGACATGATAAGACATGATAAGAATCTTGTCAACTCAGTCTTAGCTAGCCACACGACCAAGACTATAAGAGAAGAAGAAGAAGAAGAAGGTCGGAGAAGAGATGTACTACCTATGGGATGCAATCCAAAAGGGGGTTCCTGATTTGACGGGAAGCGGGATTCACATTCGTACCCTTTTTGTTTAGCAATGCAAATCCGTTCGGCGAGTCCGTTGTTTGTATCCCGCCAATCGGCTGGCAAGACTCGAT